TGCCCTCACAGCTCACAGTGATCTCAAGCTTTTGGGCTTAAGCAATTCTCTTGCCTCAGCCTCCCAAGTAGCTGGGACTACAGGCACCTGCTATTTTTTGTTGCAGTTGTCACTGCAGGCCCAGGCTGGGTTCGAACCCGCCAGCCTCGTGGTGTATGTGGCTGGCGCCCTATTCACTGAGCTATGGGTGCTGAGCCAGGTTGTGACTTATTAATGCCTCTTACCAAGAAGTCAAATGAAGATAGAAGGAATAGGTTCTTCTACATTCACAAAAAATAGTAGACAGTGTGCTGGTGGTTGGGATACAGTATTGAGTAAGATGCAACAGTGGTGGTCAAGCATTGTGGCTCACACTTGTAACCCCAGCCCTCTGGGAGGCCAAGGTGGGTGGATTGCTCGAGCTCAGGAGTTTGAGACCAGCCTGAGCAAGAGTGAAACCCTGTCTCTACTAAAAATAGAAAAAACTAGCTGAGCTTTGTGGTGTTCATGTATAGTCCCAGCTCCTCAGGAGGCTGAGGCAAGAGGATCACTTGAACCCACAAGTTTGAGGTTGCTGTGAGCTATGACACCATGGCACTCTAGCCAGGGCAACAAAGTGAGACTCTGTCTCAAAAAAAAAAAAAAAAAAAAAGAAGAGAGGGTGTTTTTTAAGTTTGTACATCTAGAGAGAGATGTAGTTTAACTAACATGCATAGAAAAAGCCTAGCTGGATGTGTGCCAAAATGTTAGCAGTGTTTCTAAGCTGTGTCATTAGAGGTGATTAAACCCATGTTCTGGCTTTTATTTTATTGGTGCTTTGCATATCTGTATTTTAAAATATTTCTATAACTAACTTGTGTTATTTACAAAATAAAGATAAGAAAAGTTCAATCAAGTTTTATGAAAAGAAAGAGAGGCCCAGCCTGTTCTCAGAACCTCCTTCTCTGGCTGGTTGGGGAATGAGCCATCTGTGACCTTCAGGGTTTTGAGGGCCCCTTCTCCCGTGCACCATTGCAATTTGGTTGTTTCAATGCTGGACCACTAAGAAGTTCTTGTGTTTCTCCCTAGATCAAATTTGGACCCCTTCAACCAGTATACGGAAGACCAGATTTGGGATGCCCTTGAAAGGACACACATGAAAGAATGTGTAAGTGAAGAGCCACGGGGGGGGGGGGGAAGGCGTGCTGGAATTGCAGGGGGAGTTGGAAGTACACAGCAGTGCTGTCACTGATCCCCACCCGCTTTGGCTGTGGAGGAGGCTCTGGAGTGGGCTTCCCATGCCTTTCAGATACTTAGAAAAGTTGAGCTCTCCCGGCCCCACTTCCCATACCACCTGTGGTCATACTGGTCTTGTGCTGTCCATATTGTGATAAGATATTAATGATAATTTAGAATTCCATGATATTTTGAAGTTAATTTTTGTCTTATTAATCATAACAATATAACATACTTTTAAAACATCCACATATATGCAAAAGAGATATTATTTATTGAGCCTGCAGAAAACCTTTAGTATGCATCTGGATCACAGCCCCCTCGGGGTAACTCAGCAGGCGCCTGCCAGCGCCACAGTCTGCAGCCTGGTACCACTGGTCTCCAGCATGCCTGGGCTGAGTCAAGCTCAGGATCCTCTGCTCTGATTCAGCTAGCTACACTCAGCTTTTCTCTTTTATGTTGGGCTTCCTCAAACAATCTATTTGAAGGGTAAGTTCAGTAGCTTAAAAAGAGAAAAGTTCCACAGCCCTAGACGTACAGCTTTGGACTTCAGAAGGAAATTTTCTTTACTCCTTTTCCTATTGGAATTCCTGAGCTATTGGTGGTAGAAAGCTAACAGAATATTATGTTTAAAATTGGGATTTTCCTAGAAAATGGGAGTCCTAGGACACATGATCATCACACCTATAATGTCTTTCTAGATGAGCCAGGTCCTTGGCTAGTAATTCTTTCATCTGTTTTGGAAAAACTTCTTTTTGCTCCTAGAGTTTTGAAATATTTAGTGTGGGTTTTTACCTTTAATCTCTATTTGCCTTCTCCCTAGATTGCTCAGCTACCTCTGAAACTTGAATCTGAAGTGATGGAGAATGGGGATAACTTCTCAGTGGGGGAGCGCCAGCTCTTGTGTGTAGCAAGAGCCTTACTCCGCCACTGTAAGGTAAGGCGTCTTGGCAGCTGGCAAGGGAGCGGGGGGAAGAGTGGGAGCGTTACAGTGCAGCTTTTCCCAGGGGCTCAGAGTCCGAAGGTATTCCTGACTTTTGAGCCTGGTGGCATTTTAAGAACATGACCAGCCATGTTTCTAATCAACCTTGACACTGTGCATACATGTTTGTAGGGAAGTGAGGGCTTATTTCATTTTTAACTTCCTTGAGGCTTCAGTATCCAAGGAGCACTTTTGTTTCTGGCCAGTGAGAAGTTGTTGTACTGCAAACCACAGACCTATAAAAGTTAAAAATTGCAAGAGACTTTCTGACTTTCAGGCCAGGCCCCTCATTTTACAAATAGGAAAAAAGGAGGTCCAAAAAGATTAATGTGCATGTTCACTGGCACAGAGTAAGTAGGGGCAAGAGTCTGACTAGATTAGTATTATACAAATGTGCCGTTTGTGGAAGTCAAGGCAAATGTTGGTTTGAAGTTATATCAATTCTAAGCTAAAGGATATTTTTACATATGTGTGTACCTATGTGGAAAAACAATACCTGGTATAAAATGTAAATAATGAAACACATTTTAGTACAACTTAGATTAAACAGAATGCCTAAGGACCTTACTAGATCTCTCTTTCTCCTCTGCTTCCCGGTAGATACTGATTTTAGATGAAGCCACAGCTGCTATGGACACAGAGACAGACTTACTGATTCAGGAGACCATCCGAGAAGCATTTGCAGACTGCACCATGCTGACCATTGCCCATCGCTTGCACACAGTTCTGGGCTCTGATAGGATCATGGTGCTGGCCCAGGGACAGGTACCAAGCCCTTCAGGACCTTGGTTTAGGATGCAGCCTTTTCTGGGAGTAAAACTGGCCCCTGGCAGGGCTGGAATGACTGCCATCTTCGTGTGGTTCTGGGCATTCAGATAAGCAGTCATAGCAACTCTATTCAGGTTGCAATTGGGAAGGATACAGCTCTCCCAGTCAAGAAATCAAATCAGGCACATTCTTAGGGGATTTTCATTTTACTTTAGTGCTTGTTCTTTTGCAGCTATAAGCAGACTTGGGTCAGAGAGCACATGTACTTAGTGATTCATTCATGTACATACAGAAATTACCCAAGGCATATTGAGACCAGCCACCACATGTTTGCTTTTTGCAATCACGCAATGGTGCCAAACTTCTTATCCTGTGTCCAGACTTTCTCACAGTCTGGCCCTAGCCTGGCCTTCTTTATTTTTCACTCTTCCCTTACAGGTGCTATTGGCTGTAGACAGTTTTACACCCTCCAAGCTTTTTTACTTGCTTTTCCTCAGTTCCTTCTGTCTAAATCACCCTTTCCCTTTGCTCCCCTCTCCCATATCTACTTGCCTTCAACATGCCTGTCTCTGAAGAAAGACATGGCCCAAAGCTTCGGTGACACTCCCTGGTTGCCTCAGCTGCCTTAAGCCTTGTTTGTACCTCTCGTGTAGATCCTCCACCCCATCTAATGGTAGCTGTGTGACACCCTATCCCCCGGGAGAACCCTGTAAGCTCTCTAAGGGCAGAGTCATGCCTCATTCATCTTTGGGTTCCCGGCAGTGCCTAGCACTGTGGTTCTTTGCACAAGTAGATGTTAAGTAAATTTATGTTGGACAGATACTTCCTTTGTGTGCCCCTGGGACGAAAGTAAATTAATGAATTGGCAGAAATAATGAGCCAATTGTATTTATCTGAGGTGCCCTTGACTGGGGCCATTGACTTTTCTCCCCTGCAGTTTGTAGAACCTGTTGATTGATTCCATCATTCTCAAAGCTGAAAGAATTGGGATTTATGTGAAGGCTGTCTGGAGGCCTTTTCCCGGACCTTTCCCTTATACCCTGGTTAGTTTTAAAAAAAAAAAAAAAAAAAAAACAAGCATGGCAGGACTAGATGAATTGTCCCCTGATTTCATCTTCAGGTGGCTTTGGGACTCACCTTCCTTCCTGAGCAGTCGATCTTCTAAATCGATCTGACTGTCCGAGAGTCACATCCTGACTTCATCTCCTTTTTTTGCAGGTGGTGGAGTTTGACACCCCATCAGTCCTTCTGTCCAATGACAGTTCCCGGTTCTATGCCATGTTTGCTGCTGTGGAGAACAAGGTCGCTGTCAAGGGCTAACTCCTCGTTGATCAAGTCCATTTTCTTTGGAGCATTGCCATTCCCTGCCTGGGGCGGGCCCCTCATCGCGTCCTCCTGCCGAAACCTTGCCTTTCCCGATTTGGTCTTTCGCACAGCAGTTCAGGATCAGCTTGTGTGTTTTACTTTTAGGAGAGTCCTATTTTGATTATTGTATTTATTCCATATTCATGTAAACAAAATTTAGTTTTTGTTCTTAATTGCACTCTAAAAGGTTCAGGGAACCGTTATTATAATTGTATCAGAGGCCTATAATGAAGCTTTATACGTGTAGCTATATCTATATGAAATTCTGTACATAGCCTATATTTACAGTGAAAATGTAAGCTGTTTATTTTATATTAAAATAAGCACTGTGCTAATAACAGTGCATATTCCTTTCTATCATTTTTGTACAGTTTGCTGTACTAGAGACATGGTTTTGCTATTAGACCGTAGGAAGGGTAGCATTTCATTCTTCTCTAGCGGGTGGGTTCATGGTGCCGGGTTTTCTGGGTGTCCAGAGGAAGGTGTGTGGCAAGAGTGGGCTGTCCGGGGCCCTTGTGCTGCCTGCCCACAGCCACTCCTGGGCAGGTGGAGTGGGCGGGCCTGCTGGAGGCCGCACAGAGCGCTGTGGATTCTCAGGGCTCCTGCCTTCTGTCCTGGTGTCACTTCCTGTTTCTGTTAGGAGAGCAGCGGGGCAAAAGCCCCAGCCCCCCTTTCACTCCCTCCAACAGGAATAAGAATTACAGAAACATTCCTCGGAGTAGGGGGAGTTTCTTTCCTGCCTTCCTCTTTTTGCTGTCGTTTCTAAACGAAAATCAGTCTATTCACAGAGTGTCCCACTGCCTCAGGTTCCTAACGCTGGCCACTTGCACAGAGCTCTCCAGCTCCTAGACCTGTTGGTTCCAAGCCCTGGAGCCAACTGCTGCTTTTTTAGGTGGTTCTTTTTCATTTGCCTGTTCCCACACCTCCACAGTTCAGTGACAGGGTTCAGGGTTTTGTGGGTCTGTTTTCCTTTCTCCCTGCAGTTGTCACACAGTCTCTCTCTCTCTCTCCAAAGTCTGCGACTTTAAGCAGCTCTTGCTAATCAGTGTCTCACACTGGCGTAGAAGTTTTTTGTACTGTAAAGAGACCTACCTCAGGTTGCTGATTGCAGTGTGGTTCGGTGTGTTCCCGCCAACCCCCTTCGTGCTGTGGGGCCGGTAGCTCAGGTGGGCGTGGTCACTGCTGTCATCAATTGAACGGTCAGCGTTGCATGTCGTGACCAACTAGACATTCTGTCGCCTTAGCATGTTTGCTGAACACCTTGTGGAAGCAAAAATCTAAAAAAGTGAATAAAATTATTTTGGATTTTGTAAAACTCTGGTGTATAAAATAGTTCTCTGGGAGGGGACTGAGATGTTCTGGAATGGCTCTGGAGTACTGGAGCCTTGGATCTGAATTTCCAGCAGTGGAGTTACCTCTGGAAAGGACTCATAGCAGAGCTGGTTGGTTGCAAGGGACATGGGGCCCAAAATATCTGGAATCATTTTTTTTTTTTTTT